GGGGGGGGGGGGAATTGGATTTCTGTGACTTCTGACAACTTGTATTGAAGCTAAAAATGTGGGGGTTTTTTTCTGAAGTTTGGAGTTTGAAACATTTCCAGTGGAATTCTAAAACCAAATTTTGCTTTATTTGCAGCTTTAGTCATTTCTTCATGATATGATTATTAATTGGACAAAAAGAGATCCCTGAACAAGCATTTTTGTGTCTCTCCTTGTTAATGTTTGCAGCTCAAATCCAATCCTAGCAATAATGAGGAAAAAGAAGCCCAGACTCAGCTGACAAAGTCTGATGAGCTACAGCGTCTGCATTCACAAGCATTATCTGCCTACCAGCAAGAGGATTACGAAGCCGCTATTTCTCTTCTTGATGAAATCTTGGCAGTAAGTATTGAATAAAATGGTACTGTGAAAGGAAAGTAAGAGCTCCTGTCTGACATCTGTGTATTTTTGTTTAATAACTTCTTCACTGATGTGAAAACACTTGGTATAATTGACTCAGTTTTGCTGAGCACCATGAGTCCATAATGAAATTGGAGAATGCTGAACACTAGCTGCAAAAAAAAATAATATCTTGTACTTTGGGTTAAAGATATAACTTCAGCCAAACTTCTGTTACAGATAACTTGATTATACGTCACCATTTTTCCACAGTTCAGTGTTCTTGGGGAAGCTGGGAAGAAAGTTATTCTCAAACCAATGAGATTTTGCCAAATATAGGGGGTGCTGTTTTTTTATCTAGCTATTTTCATTGACTATATGTAGGCAATTTTTGTCTTAAAGTTAAGTAACAGAAGATGAAAAAAATCAAAGTTAAAAAAATACATAGCTATCTGGATTTTCAGCTTGTTCCTTGGATATCTGTGTTTGTTGAATCTTAATCGGTGTATGTAGTCTGATAGTCTAAGTGTAAATAATCATGTGCATTTTATGTGTCATATAGAAATATATAGAGTTAACTGCTATGACTCTTCACATACAGATTAACACTGACTTGGCATTTACAGAACTAGCTTTTGGTGAAGAAACTACCAAAGTCTGGTAGTATATTTATGGGGAGGGAATGTGGAAAAACAGAAAAGCCTTGTTCTCTAAAATGATGGTTTGCGGACAAATCATAAGACCCAGAATAAGTTCTTTAAAATGAATTATGATAGGCAGTTCCTTTTAAGTAATTATTCTGTGATGTCATTATTTCTGTATGTATCTTTAAAATCCAGATACTGAGGTCAGTTCTTGCATAGCTGAATCTTACCTACAGTCTTGCTTCTAGAGGACAACTGACAGCTTGGTCCTTGCTGTTCATTACCCCTATTCTTTTGGGAAGATACAATAATTCATGATTCTTATATCCTTCCCTGGAGGCTCAACAGACTGTCCCACTTTAAGCAGTGCCAGTAGATTTAATTCATCTCCCTGCATGAGCTCATTGAATCATTTACAAATTTTTCAGGCCTTTGTTTTCTATTTGGGCAGGTGCATCACAGCATCCACCAGGAAGCAGAGATGCTAATTTCATGCGCTCTGCATGCAGCTTGAACCTTACACTATTGCAGTTGGCAAAGTGAAATTAAATGGGATTTTTTTTTTCTTGTTGGGGAGGAAAAGTGAAGTGTTATGGACTAAAAACAAGCTTTAATTTTGATTTCTCAAGGTTTGTGTTTGGGATGCAGAGCTACGGGAACTTCGAGCTGAGTGTTATATAAAGGAAGGGGAACCAAGCAAAGCCATTAGTGACTTGAAAGCTGCTGCCAAATTAAAGAATGATAATACTGAAGCCTTCTATAAAATCAGTAGAATATATTATCAGCTGGGGGACCATGAATTATCACTCAGGTAATTTTATTGTTTGCTGTAATCATTGTAATTGAGACAGAAAATGTGATGATACGGGTCATGATAAACCACAAAATATCTATGCTGTCTGGTTTTTGAATGGAGTAGCAACTCTGGATCTGATAATGGAAGCTCCTTTCCAGCAGCGAAGACCTGTCAGTGAAAACACCATGTTTATTCTTGGCAGACTAGCCACTGATGGTTCCTAGCATCTTGTTTACTTTCTTTATTGTATTTCTTCATCCTAGAAGAAAGTGTTTCTCTAAACTTGCTTTGGAGCCTTTTTTTTAACCTTGAACCTCCATTCAAGTTAAGTTTACAATGCAAGCAAAAAATGTATCCATTAAGTCTTAGGGCTAGATTTTTACTTTCGAGGGAAACAAAGGGTTACAATCTTAAGAATAAATATAAAGTACAGGAGCATGCAAGAATTGAGGAGCTGGGATCTAGAGCTATCAATCTTCCCTTCTTGTAGACAGTGTCCAGAGTTTTGGATGATTTTTTGATAACACCCTACCCTTTTACTCATATTTATTTAAGTTCAAGGTGTTATTCACATATGACCCTAGTCAGTCCTGCAGATAGCTGCCCTTGCCCAGTCTGGACTGTTAACTTCATACTCTGTGCTGAGCTGGCTGGCTGGTGTAATTCTTTTTGCACACAAATGGTTTCTGTGAAGCGCATCATCTCAGATGTGCTACCTTCATCTCCTGCTCCTTCCAATACAGTTTCTGCCACAGAATCTGTTCAGTAAGAGGTGAAGGGAACTGGAAAATAACTAATTGGTTTGCGTTAGGAATCCCCTTTCCATAGTATACTGAATCTCTGAAGCTCACAGGTCACTTCGGTGGTGACTTAGCTGGCCATCACTTAGCCTGGTGATTTCAAGACTAGGTGGTATTTTTTTTTCCTCTGAAATCCACTTTGTTAATAACCAAATCTTAAGATTTTTATAAGTACAGTTGAGAGAGCTGTAGAACAGAATGGTATCAGAGTGAAGGGATAAGGGTCTTCATTTTTCTCTGGCACTATGGGGGTTTTTTAATAATAAGATATACTAAGAAAGAGTTCTGTAGTTCTTGGACTTGCTGGGTCTTGTTCTTCCTTTAGTTTCTTCTTCTTACCTTTACAGGCTTAATGATTTTCAGATAATAGGTATTTTTGTCTGTGCTTAGGAACAAAACAAGATTTTTGTGATCTTTTTCTGAAAATAACACCTTGTTTGTGCTATGATGTATCTGTATGATACACACCTTTTATTCTTCCATATGATTGCATTCTGGAGGGGTTTTTTTAAATCTTTTGACTATTTTAAGAACCATCTGCCCTAATCAGAGTCTGTTTAAACAGTCTTCACACTGAAAAGTCAGGCTCAGACTTGGCTGAGATTCCAGCAAAAGGAGAAGGTCTGAGTCTTAGCTGAGCTTTGTTTCAGGAAGCATAAAATGTAGTTCTACATAAGTATTTTGTAATATAGCTGAGTTATTAAATATACAGGGAAATGATAATCAATTGTATCTGCTGAATATAATATTTTCTCAGAGTATATTTTTAGTCTGTTTAGTCAGTTATTAATGTAGCACTTCTATATCTTTGCATATTTGGCAATACGAAATAATTAAAACCAAAACTAGACAAATATCCCTGCATATGCTGGAAGACTTTTTTTGTCTTGATTTAAATTCACTTTAAAAGAAGAGAGAAGTTGTGTAAAGAAGTCAACTCTTGTTCTGGACAGCTTATAGATGCTGCATTGTGTTTCTAGGTTAAATTTCATAATGTGTGTTTATGTCTTTCTGTTTTGGGGTGTTTTTTTCTTTTTCTTCCCTACCTCCCTGTGAAAAGTGAAGTCCGGGAGTGTCTGAAACTGGACCAAGACCATAAGCAATGCTTCTCTCTCTATAAGCAAGTAAAGAAACTCAATAAGCAGATCGAGTCAGCAGAGGAATTCATCAGAGAAGGCAGGTAAGTGTTCACTGCTGTATTAAAAAAAAAAAAAAATCACTACGGAGATACCAACTTACTATTGATTGAGGAGTTGATGAAGTGATGCTTTTTGCATTTGTCAGTTGAAGAGGATAACTGAGCACATCTCTCAAATTACAATTAAAATAAATATTGATTCACATAGTGACAATCCTATTCTGATTCCTTCTGATGCCACTGTTGTCTCTTTGCATGCTTAACAACTTTGTGGAGCAGACAGGAAGACCAAGATAGGGATAATATTTGTCAGCCCTCATATATTATTACTGAGCACTGATGGGGCCACACCTGAAGTGCTAGGCTCCCTAGTGCAAGAGAGGTGAAGCTACTGAAACAAACTCCAGCAAAGTGCCACTAAAGTGATGGTGGAACTGGAGCACCTCTCTCATGAGGAAAGGCGTGAGAGAGCTGGGATTGGTCCCCCTGAGCCTTCTCTGCTAAAGGGGGAATCTCAGATGTGTATAAATACCTGAAGGGAAGATGCAAAGAGGGCAGAGCCAGGTTCCTTTCAGTGGTGCCCAGTGACAGGATGAGGGGCAGTGGGTGCAGACTGAACCAGGAAATTCTGTTTTAACATAAGGAAATGCTTCCCACCACCCCCTTGTTTCCACTGGGGCGGGTTATCCAGAGAGGTTGTGGAGTCTCCCCACTTTGATAGTCAAAATCCATTGGGACGTGGCCTTGGGCAACCTGCTCTAGGTGGCCCTGCTTGGGCAGGGGTGTTGGACCAGTTGACCTCCAGAGATCCATTCCAACCTCAACTATTCAAAGGACTTCATCTTTAGACTAAAACTACCTAGTAACTGCAGTGTCTTGATAGCAAAAGTGGATCTGAGTGGTGGGCTTCTTTTATGCACCCTCTTAAATGATAAACAGTGCCTCTGTATTCTGTTTCTTGCTTTATTTCATTTTTTTTACCAAGCTTACAACATCCAACTGTAAGGATCCTGACAAGTGATTAAACATTGTCAAGGTGGCTTTTTAAAATGGAAATACATCAGGAATGTGAATCAGCACAAATGAAGACAGTTTTACTGTCAGCAGTCCATTTGGACTCTTCTGCACATTTTCAGGGAGTCTTCTGAGATTGAACCCATGGGTTGCTACAAGCTAGGAGAAATTCACAATCACATGCTTTTCATTTTTAGGTGAATGCATCTTTGAATCCTTCACAGCAAAAATACATTTTACTGTGTGATTTGTAGAGAGGAAAGGGAGAAAACACCTACCTGATTCAACCTGGCATGAAATTTTTTTTTTTTTTTGTACCGAGAAATACAAGTAGTACAGTGCTCACATCAAGACCTGGACTTAGTCCATCTCAGATATCAGAGAGGGAGATGCTTTTTTTCCAAGTGCAGAGGGGTGTGTTGGACAGGAGGCACATCTAGATACTCTTGTCTGTGTACGCTGAGGGGTTGTATTCATTATCTTCTGCAAAAGCCTACCAGGCATAGTGTCTGTCTCATAGCACAGAAAAGGGAACGGGGATGTAATTGAAGTAGCTGTAAGTTTTCTTCATACTGTTGCTTCACACCACGCCTTAAGACTATCAAAGTTAAGGTACCTTGGTGGAAGGATGTGAAAACCTGAATTTTAATTTTTGAAAAATTGTAAATAACTATTTCAGGGTGTTGTAATTTATTACATTTCGTGATGATATGCTTATCTTTATGATTTAAACAGGTATGAAGATGCTATCAGTAAATATGAATCTGTAATGAAAACTGAGCCAGAAGTCCCAATTTATGCTACTCGTGCCAAAGAAAGGATCTGCCACTGTTTATCAAAGGTAATTCTGTGTATCTTTCTCTGTAGTTTTCTTTAAAACAAACACATGTGTGCGCACCCACGCACACAAAAGCCCCCAGCTACATGAATTTTGTTTTACTTGCTCCTCTCTAGAATCAGCAGGCTACAGAAGCCATAGAAGTTTGTACAGAAATTCTGCAACTGGAACCAACCAACGTGAATGCCCTGAAAGACAGAGCAGAAGCATATTTGCTGGAAGACCTGTATGAAGAAGGTACAGCTGTATGCAGTTTGCACATACTTTTTTTTGTGGGCATTTAAAATGCAGTCAGTGTTTCAAATATTTTTTAACATGCACTTTAATTCTACACTATGTTGTTATCCATAATCAGCACTGGTACTTGCAGATTATAAAAATACCTGCTGGTAATTTTGTCTTGATTAGTATAAGTGGAGCACTCTTGTTTTATCTACAGCAGAGTTGTCTTTACAACAGTGGGCTATGTTCAGGATGTTTTGAGACAGTACATCTTACTCAACTTACTTAGCTGATTATATAAATTGTGTTTATAGCAGACAATTGCATTTAGAGATAAAAGGTAGTTAGGGTGATGTAAATCCATTTTAGGAACTCCATTTTAATGTCTTTAGATGGCAGCATGAAACAATGCTTTTTTCTGCCCTAGTATATGTTGAGGACAGAGGAAGATTAACAGCCATTGCTTCACCTCAGTGGGTTTCTGTAGTGCTGCTGTGAGGACCAGTAAACTGATTCTGCTCTTGAGGCTACATTTTCCATATGGGGTTTCCATAAAATGCATAGTTACATGGGTCCCAGCTATAGCTGTGGAAGGTAGGGACTGAGTAATGGGTGTCTTCGAGCACACCATCGTGTTGTTACCTAGCTTCTTTAAGAGTGCTAAATGTTAATGTGCTATTAAACAACAAAAAAAAATCTTGAAATGTTTAATTTAGTGAATCTCCTCAAGAAATCAGGTTTAAGAAGGAAATGTGTACAATCTGTCTGTTCCACCTCTGTGCTTAGTCATGCAGCAGGCTTAGAAGCATTGGGCTGTTTCAGTCAAATATGATGAGGGAAAGGACTTGTAGGCTTTAAATCTGCAGAAAACTAGTTCCATTAATTTTAGTACTGGCAGAACAATTGTCCTTTTCTGCATTCTGGTGCTGGATCTTTTGCTTTATAACTGAACAAGAAAATATCTTTTTGATTTAAACATTCATGAGGCAGCTATTCTCATTAATAGCATGCTCAGGGTTTTTTTGTCTTTTTTGAGAAATTAATTGCTAAAAGATTATATTGCTCACCTCTTGAAGTTCATTTCAAAAATGAGATACTTATTTTGTTCTTTTTTAGGCCTCCTTGACTCAAATGAAAACACGGTATAAAGGGGAGCAGTGTGGTTTCAGGCAGTCCTCTTCATCAGCCCTGTAGACTTTGTACCTCTGAAGTGACCTAGTCCTAGTCCCTCTTTGCTGTGGCTGGCAAGCCTTCTTCCTCTTTATAAGAAAAAGGGTGGAAGACAACAGCATTTTAGAGAACTGATGACTCTTGTACAAAGGGATTGCTTAAAAAAAAAAAACCTCTAAAGTATGAGGAAAAAATGTCTTTCTGTTTTTAGGGTAATGTTTTTCTGTCTTTTGTTTAGAACTGCACTGTCAACCTAAAATGTGAAGCTCAGGAAGGTTTCACAGTGATGAGGCCACCTTTGGGCATTTCCATGTCTCTTTCTGTACTTCTGTGGAAGTAAGCTCAGTCAGTGTTGGGAAAAGTAGACTTGCAAATAAAAAAATCTCACTTACCTAAAAACAGTTAAAGGTACAGAATACCAATTGTATACTCTAAACTTAGATTATGGCTTGTACAAAGGCTTTTGGTTTAAAAGGAAGGAGTATCAGCAAAAGGAGAACCCAAAGAAAATTTAAGATTACTTTTTCCCCTCAAGGCGTGTGAATCTTCAGTTTAGAGGAGGATTCAGAGAGGGGTGGGCCAAACAGGACTCATTGTGAATCCTCTTTGATGTACCTTACACTTACTTGTTACTAAGGAACAGAATTGATCTGTTTGTTTTCTTGAGATTGATTGATCTCAGTTTGGATCTTTCTAACATTATCTTCTATTAGCTCCTCATCTATTTCCATTTCCTCTGGGGTGAGAGAGTCTGGCACTTCTTGCAAATTAGAGAAAAAAGTTTTGTGACAAGATCCTGCACAAATGCACAGAGCCAACTTGGTCTTGTGCTGGAGCAAATGCCTCTCTATTATGGGATATAAGAAAAGATAGAGAGGTCACCCATGGGATCTGGGAGAGCTTATTTTTGTGGGCTGGAGCCTGCTGGGCTTGGCCTAGCCTGGTTCTGAGTGGACAACCATGCTGTAGTGGAACCGTGCTTCTCCAAATCCCTGTTGTTTAGCATGTCCCCTGCCTTCCTCCTGCTCTTGACAGTAGTGAGATTGTTGTAGTTATACTCTGCTTTCCAGCAGAGCCTCCATAAGCAGTATTATAGTCCATTAATATTAGTCTGCCTGGAGGTGTCTTCACTTAGCCTTCAGTTTTAACTGCTGTAAAATGATGGCTGATTCTTCTCTGCTGTAGAGAACAGTAGAGCAATTAAAACTGTACTCTCATATTTAAGGGGGCAGACAGATTCTCATTCTTCCCTCAAGAAATTTTCCTGTTTAAAGACGGGAAATTGCAAAGTACTTGTAATTCAGAACTTTGAAGGCGATTATTGTTAAATGTTCAAGATGCACTTCAGTATGTATAGCTGAGTTCTGATTCCCATCAAATGGTTTTAATTACTTTATAATCACATGGAATCCAGGGCTTGTCTACAGAGACAGATGTGTAATGACTCCCTTTTTGGCTTACCTCGTAAGTACAGGAGTCTAAAGTGTACAGCACAAGTTTTGTCAAAGAAGGCAAAGAACCTACCCTGCTGCTTTAAAATTAGTCAGGACATCTCTTCCCCCCC